TCGCTTGGAGGCTGCTTGGGCCCTCTGGGATTGGTCTTGTGGGCGTCTTCGGCCGTCTTGGCACGTCGGAACAGTGAACATGCAACGAAGCCAAAATCTTAGGAAAGCCATAGGAAATTAATGATTTTGATCTCTTGGGGCCTTCTTCAGAGAACTCTGCGAGGTTCGTGGGGCCTTCTCAAGCTGTCGGGGGAACCTTTAAGAAGCTTTTAAGGCAACCCGAGGACCCTCGCGTACCCTCGTAGGTGCCTCTTCGGACGAAGATCGCTCAGTTTCGCGCTGGAAGGCTGCGATCCTCGTGAGGGGTGCCGTTTCTGAAGGCCGTCTTGGGGCTCTCTGGGGCCGTCTTGGGCACCCCTTGGGCCGTGTCGGGGCTGTCTTGGGCCGGTTTCGGACTCGCTTGGAGGCCTCTTGAGCCGTCTGGCATCGGTCTTGTGGGCGTCTTCGGCCGTCTTGGCACGTCGGAACAGTGAACATGCAAAGAAGCAAAAATCTTAGAAAAACCATAGGAAATCACTGATTTTCATCTCTCGGGGGCTTCTTCGGAGGACTCTGGAAGGCTCTTGGGACCCTCTTGGGCCTTCGTAGGAGCCTCGAGAAAGCCTCTCGGGAGGTCCAAGGAGCCTCGCGTGTCCTCTCACCTTCCTCTTTGGACGGAGAGCGCTAATTTTCGCGCTCGGAGGCTGCGATCCTCGTGAGGGGTCCCGTTTCCGGAAGTCCCGGTTGGGGAGGATCCTATTTCGGGGGGTGGGGGTCCCACCCCCCAGGATTATAAAAATATAGAAAAGGGAATGTATCATATATGTATATACCTATACATATACATAAACATATGCATATACATATATATACACATCTACATACACAAACATATACATTTCCATATACATATACACATGCATAGACATATACATATGCACTCAGAAGCACATATACATATACATATGCATATACATATACATACGCATATACATATACGTATGCATACACATGTACATATACATATACACGCACATATATGTATCATATATATATACATATACATATATTCATACATACACGTATGTAGACATATATGTATGTATACAAATGTACATACATGCATTATATACATATACATATAAACATACATATCCATATACATACATTACAAATACATATACATATGCAAATACAGTTGCATATACATTTACATATCCATTTACACATACATATACATAGACATATACATATATGTATGCATATACATATAAATATGCATGTATATATACATGCACACATACATATACATATACATATACATGTACATATACACATACATATACATATACGTATATATATACATACATATACATATACATATACAAATACATATACATATACATATACATATACAAATACATATACATGTACATATACAAATGCACATTCACATTCACATACACCTGCACCTGCACCTACACCTACATATAGATATACATATACACATACATATAACTATAACTATAAATAGACACAGACATAAACATATACCTATACATATGCCTATACCTATATATATACATATACGTATACATATACAAATACATATACATATACATATACGTATGCATGTACATATACATATACATATACATATACATATACAAATACGATGTAGGCCTGACAAAAGACCCGGCCATATGCAGCTGCGGCTGCCGCAATGTGGGTACTTACCGTTTTCGGTGGAGCTCCCTATGGGGACACGAAACGGGCGAGGGATGCGCCGAAATCGGTGGCGCGGACGCATGCTGCCTGTGCCACTGGAGCCTTCGGTGGAGCTCCCTATGGGGCCACGAAACGATTTCCTGGGTGGCGTTGACGCAAGCGGCCTGTGCCACTGGAGCCTTCGGTGGAGCTCCCTATGGGGCCACGAAGCGCTGGCCACGAAGCGCTGTCCTGAGTGGCGTTGACGCATGCGGCCTGTGCCACTGGAGCCTTCGATGGGGCCACGAAACGTTGTCCCGGGTGGCGTTGACGCATCCCGACCCTGCCAGTCCTGGGCGGCGTTGACGCGTGCGGCCTGTGCCACTGGAGCTTTCGGTGGAGCTCCCTATGGGGCCACGAAACGCTGTCCTGGGTGGCGTTGACGCATGTGGCCTGTGCCACTGGAACCTCCGGTGGAGCTCCCGATGGGGCCACGAAGCGCTGTCCTGAGTGGCGTTGACGCATGCGGCCTGTGCCACTGGAGCCTTCGGTGGAACTCCCTATGGGGCCACGAAACGCTGTCTTGGGTGGCGTTGACGCATCCCGGCCCTGCCACTGGAGCTTCCGGTGGAGCTCCCTATGTGGCCAGAAACGCTGTCCTGGGTGGCGTTGACGCGTGCAGCCTGTGCCACTGGAGCCTTCGGCGGAGCTCCCTATGGGGCTACGAAACCCTGTCCTGGGTGGCGTTGTGGAGCTCCTTATGGGGCCACGGGACGCTATCCTGGGTGGCGTTGACGCACGCGGCCTGTGCCACTGGAGCCTTCGGTGAAGCTCCCGACGGGGCCACGAAACGCTGTCCTGGGTGGCGTTGACGCGTGCGGCCCGTGCCACTGGAGCTTTCGGTGGAACTCCCTATGGGGCCACGGGACGCTGTCCTGGGTGGCGTTGACGCATGCGGCCTGTGCTACTGGAGCCTCCTGTGGAGCTCCCGATGGGGCCACGAAGCGCTGTCCTGAGTGGCGTTGAGGCATGCGGCCTGTGCCACTGGAGCCCTCGGTGGAACTCCCTATGGGGCCACGAAACGCTGTCTTGGGTGGCGTTGACGCATCCCGACCCTGCCACTGGAGCCTTCGGTGGAGCTCCCGCCGGGGCCACGAAACGCTGCCCTGGGTGGCGTTGACGCGAGCGGACCCTGGCACTGGAGCTCTCGGTGGAGCTCCCGACGGGGCCACGAAACGCTGTCCTGGGTGGCGTTGACGCATGCGGCCTGTGCCACTGGAGCCTTCGTTGAAGCTCCCTATGGGGCCACGAAGCGCTGTCCTGGGTGGCGTCGACGCATGCGGCCCTGCCACTGGAGCTTTCGGCGGAGCCGTCCAATGGGGCCACGAAGCGCTGTCCTGGGTGGCGCTGACGCATGCGGCCTGTGCCACTGGAGCTTTCGGTAGAGCTCCCTATGGGGCCACGAGACGCTGTCCTGGGTGGCGTCGACGCTTGCGGCCTGAGGCGGCTGGGAAGAGGGAGGAGGGGGAGGAGGAGAGGAGAGGAGACGCGGGGCGCTGTCTCTTCAAAACGAAGACCAAACACCACAGGATGGTTGGGAAAAAAGTCGCGGCTAAATCTAGATCGTGCGCGGCCACCCCGCGATCGCTGCCAAGGGGATTTGAAAGGGACGGCGGGGGTGGTGGCGGGCCTGCTGTGCGCGGGCCCACCAGACACAATAATGGGCATTGGTTTTCGACAAGGATGGTGGGGCCGACACGTTTCCCCATGTGCTGTCGCGTGCGCAGGCGCACCTGACACACTCTGCCCGTGCCCCGAACGTGGCGCACCTGGCGAGGCTGGAATATGCGGCACACCTGGTGCACGCGGAGGCACGTGGCGCATCTGGCGCACCAGGCGTGCCTGGCACGCTCGGGCCCCAAGGGTGCCTGGCGCGCGTGGCGCGCCCGGCACGCCTGGCGCACCTTGCCCCAGCGTCGCGCACATTTGCTCGGTTCTGGTTCCCAGTTGCTGCCCATCCAAGGACGACCGCTGAACATGCTGAGGCTCGGGTGTTACTTATGTGTTGGGAGGGCGGGTGGGAGTGAGCTAGACGCACCTGAGCTGCTGGAACTGGATATCCGACGACTTCGGTGTACTCGCCGGGCGGGCATGCGCACACGATGACCCTCGCCTGCCAGGATTGACCAACTTGCCAGAGGACGCCGATCGCCGACCCGCTGACCAGCCCCCACAACTAACGACGCAGCAGCAGCACCCGCAGCCGAAGCCCGCAACAATGAGAAGTCGCCGAGGAGGAAGCCTCTCAAGCTCCCTGTCACCTCGGCTAGCAGCAGACAGCCGCCGGCGTCCTCGTGCCCAGGGACGAGGTCCTTGACTGACAAGGGCCCCTCCAGCGCGAACGGCACCAGGCGAGCGATGGCTGAGGAGAGGAACCCCATGCGCTGCTCTCTGACTTAGACTTGAGCCGCAAAACAGCGGCCACATTCGCACATGCCAACCATTACTTTCAAAGAAGTCGGCTCGGAGGAAGAGCGGGAAAAGAAGGAGGAGGGGAAGAAGGAGAGAAAGGAGGACGACGACGACGACGACAACGACGATGACGACGACGACCACGATCACGACCACGACCACGACGACGACGACGACGACGACAACGACGACGATGTCGACGACGACGGCGACGACAACGACCACCACGACCACGACCACGACGACGACGACGACAACCACGACCATGACGACGGCGACAACGACGACGACGACGATGACCACGACCACGACCACGACCACGACCACAACCACGACCACGACCACAACTATGACCACGACCACGCCCATGACAACGACCACGACCACGACCACGACCACGACCACGCCGCCGCAGACGACGACGAGAAGGAAGCGCAAGGAGGAGGAGGAGGAGGAGGAGGAGGAGAAGCAGCAGCAGCAGCAGCAGCAGCAGAAGCGCGTGGAGGAGCAGCAGGAGGCGGGCAGGGGGAAATACGAGGGGAGGGGAGGAAGGTGGAAAGGACCAGCAGCAAACGCGGTGGGTCTAGCATCCAGCGCCAGCGCATCGCAAAAAAGAAGGAGTAGCAGCAGCACGAGGAGGCGGAGGGGAGAGGAGGAGAAGGAGGAGGAAGAAGAGGAGGAGGAGGAGCAGGAGGAGGAGGAGAAGGACGCAAGTGGGCAAGGAGAACGGATGAGAAACTAAGAGCATCATCAGCACAGGGAGGAGCAGGACGGAGGAGGAGGAGGAGATGGAGGATGTAGGGGGACGAGGGGGGTGGGCAGACGGCGGCGGCCCTGTCGTCCTGTCGCGCCCCGTAGTAGGCGCTCTCGTCTAAGCACTCGTACACGATCTCGTCGGCCTGGGCGCTCGGGCTTGTGGCCTCGGCGCGGGGCAGCAAGCCCTCTGAACCTCATCACCACGATAATCACAATCACCAAGAACAACAGCATCATCATCATCATCATCATCATCATCATCATCATCACCATCAGCATCATCATCATCATCATCATCATCATCATCAAGAACAACATCAACAACAACCACATAATCGTCATCATCATCATCATCGTCGTCACCATCAGCAACAACAGCATCACCATCACCATCACCATCACCATCATCATCATCACCATCATCATCATCATCAGCAGCATCACCATATCATCATCGGCATCACCATCATCATTATCATCATAACCGATCATAACCTTCATTACCATCAGAATCATCATACTCAGTATCATCATCAACATTATCATCATCATCTTCGTGGTCCTCGTCATCCGTCTCCTCCTCATCCTATGCTGCCTCCTCCTCCTCCTCCTCCTTCTCATCATCAGCAGCATCAGCACCATCATCATCATCACATCATGATCATCAGTATCATCAACATCACCATCATACTAAACCTCCTCCACATCCGCATCCTCATCCTCAGTCGCATCAGCATCACTATCATCATCGTCATCATCATCATCAGCATCATCATCCTCATTATCAGCATCATTATCATCAGCATCATCATCACCATCATCATATGCGTCATCATCATCACCATCATCATCCGCATTCTGGGCTTGAACATCACTATCATCATCAGCATCGTCATCATCATCAGCACAATCGTCATTATCAGAATCATCATCATCATCATAATCATCAGCATCATCACCATCATCATCGTCATCATCATCGTCCTTGTCCTCGTCATCATTATCCTCCTCATCCTCCTCCGCTTCCTCCTCCTCCTTCTCATCATCATCAGCATCATCATCACCATCATCAGCATCATCATCAGTACCACCATCATCAGCAGCAGTATCCTCATCCTCATCATCATCAGAGTCGTCATCATCATCATCATCATCATCATCCTCCTCATCATAATCAGCATCAACATCTTCATCAACAACAGCGCATCATCGGAATCACCATCATCCTCGTCATCACCACCATCGCCACCAGTATCAACAGTATCATCATCAGCAGCAGCATTATTATCATCATTTTTCATATGAATCATCATCATGATCAGCAAAATCAGCGTTACCATCATCGTCACCTTCGTCAGCATCGTCATCGGCATCCTCATCCGCATCCTCATCCTCGTCCTCCTCCTCCTCCTCATCATCATCATCATCATCATCAGCAGCAGCATCATCATCCTCATCCTCATCCTCATCCTCATTCTCATCCTCATCCTCATCCTCCTCCTCCTCATCATCATCATCAGCATCATCATCCCTCACCCGCCGATGCACTGCTTACACTCCTCCTACCACCTTTCCTCCCGCTCCCCTCTCTAGCCTTTGCCCTCCCTCCCTCCCTCCCTTCCTCCTTCCTCCTCTTTCCTCCTCGTCCTGCTGCTCCTCCTCCTTCTCCTCCTCCTCCTCCTCCTCCTCCTCCTCCTCCTCCTCTTCATCCTCATCTTCCTCCTCCTCCTCCTCCTCCTCCTCCTCCTCCTCCTCTTCCTCCTCTCCCTCCGTCCTCACCAACCACCTGCCCTTCTTCCCAGGCTTCCCCCGCCCGCCCCCCCCCCAAGAACCTTGACGAGGAAGAAGGGGCGTCGAGGCAGGGACGGAGAAGGAAGGCAGGGCTGGAGGCCTCCTAGATGGGGTCGGAGTAGATGGGGTCGGAGGATCGCGCCGCATCGCCGATGCATCGGCGATGCATCGGCGATGCATCGGCGATGCACCGGCGATGCATCGTCGGCGTGGGCGATGCAGCGGCGACGTCGACGTGAAGCAAATCGGGCTCCACATCGAGCCGCATCGAGCCGCATCGGCGGTGCGGCGCGATCCTCCGACCCCGTCTACGACGACCCTATTGAGGAGGCCTCGAGGGAAGGCAGGGCAGGGTAGAGGCAGGGAGGAAGGGGCAGAGGCAGGAGAGAGCCGAAGGTCCCTCGCCGAGACGGGCTCTCGACGGCCGGCGGCTCCCCGGCCTGGACCTCCAGAGGCGCGCTCGCGGGGCCAGGGGCGGTCGGACGGCGAGCCGGGATGAAAATCCGCTTCCCGGGGACGGGAGGACTCGATTCCAGGGGCTCGGGGACACACACACACACACACACACACACACACACACAAACAAACAAACAAATACGCACCAATCCCAGGATTCCCCTTATTTTTCCATAGTTTCTGGATTTTCGCCATCCCCCCCCCCCCCCACTTCCCACATTTTCCCATCTTGTCCTGGGAGTCGACGGTTCATTGTGTCTGTGTGTTTTTCCCCTCCTGATTAATCTCGAGACTTGGAGCAGCTACAGAGCTCTCGACTACAGCAATCGATTCGGCTGCATCAGAAGCATCAACGCAAGGCCTCAAGCGACGTGAGGTCGGTCTACGACTCGAGCTATCTTCGACAAAGTAGCATTAATCTGCACTACTTGTTCTTCGCCGGGAGGACTACAGTCATCCTGCTACCAGAAGGAACGCCACATAAGGAGGGCAGGGGCTTGGGTTTCTTGTCACGGCGAGCATCAGTCAAGAACAGGTTCCCCGATCTAGGCCTAAGGAACGGCCCGAAAACACGAGCCCCTTCTGACCCCAAAGTGGTCCTAGTGTCAGCGTCTTGGCTACATAGGGGCCCGCGCAGCGGAAACGTCGCGACGCCCGACCCTGAGACCCGAGGCCACGTGGACGACACCGTGAAAAATCACGGCCTGAACCTGGACCCCGGACCCAGGCTTTCTTCAGCGGCGCGCAGAGGGGGGTAGGAGGAGGGGGGAAGGCTTCTTAGAAGCACCCCTGCTTCTTAGAAGGCCCCGGCCTTACGTCTATAGAGAAGGCCAGCGCCTTCTAAGAAGCAGGGGTGCTTCTAAGAAGCCTTCCTCCTCCTGCCCCCCTCTGCGCGTGGCCTATTTCTGCAGCAGCGACCGATCTGCGACCCGGCGCCCAGAGCCGGGCAGAAGCGCCCGCTGTGACACGGGGGCGGCGCCCGGAGCGCCGGGGAGGCGAAGGCAGAGCCGCAGGCGCAGAGCCAGAGGGGGAGCCAAGCCGGGCCGGGCAGCCCTCGAGGGCTCCTGGGCGAGGAGCTGCTCTGCCAGGGCGGCGCGCGCAGGGGGGTGGGGGGAGGGGGGAGGGCTTCTTAGAAGCACCCCTGCTTCTTAGAAGGCGCCGGCCTGGACATCTATACACAGGGCCCGCGTCTTCTAGGAAGCAGGGGTGCTTCCAAGAAGCCCTCCCCCCCTCCCCCCACCCCCGTGCGCGCGCCGCCAAGCTCTGCCAGGGCGGCGGGCCAGCCGGGGGCTCAAAAGCCCCAGGGAGCAGCTGGAGCACGAGCACACGAGCCCGAGGAGCAACTGGTCGGCGGCGCGCGGGGGGGGGGGGCAGGGGCGAATGACGCGAGCGAGGGCGGAAGCGAGCGGGGAGGGAACGGGTGAGAAGAGGACGCCAGCTGCACAGCGGGCCCCACCTCCTCTCGTCGTGAAGAGAAGCACGACGGGGGCGGCTTCAGGCCGCCTTCTGCCTCCAAGGGGCCCTCGCTGGGCCCCCGGGACCGTCAGAAAACGACCCAGGAGGAGGAACCAGCCCGGGGGAAGGGGGCCAGAACTCTGTGAGAGTCTGTCCGAGCTCTGGGTGCACCGTTCCAGGCCCATCCCTGGCCCAGGATCCGTGCATACGCCCTCCTGGCCTGGCCGGGAGACGCTGCAGAACGCGCTGGAGCGCGGCACCATTGAGACCGCAAACGGGGGGCCGTGGCCCCTCAAGCGCGGGTGAGCAGTGCGCTCTGGAATGAGGCCTTGCTCCAGAGAACTTGCCCGCTGGACCGAACATGGGAAGCCTCGCCTCGCAGGTGCGACATGCCAAGACGAAGCCAGGACGAGGATACAATCGGATGTAGATACATCGAGAATCTCTGCGATCCGGCGGCTCTGGAGCATGTATCGGGCGCCGCGGCCCTCTCAGAGCGTTCCGGAGCGCTCTGAGAGGGTTCCGGAACGCTCTGGGACAGATCCATCCTCGCCCTTGCTCCGTCCGAGACGTCCTCGCCGGTACTCGCCGGTCTCCCAGCCTCGGGATTGGAGAATCCCAAGGGCACCGATACCGCTGCTGCCTGGACCTCTCCCGAGGCGCGTTCTGGCCGGAACTTCGATGCGAATCCAGCGGTGGCGACGAGATTCCGAAAAAAGGGAACGGGCGAAGGGTAGCGAACGGGTGTATCCTCGTCCCAGCCCCGTCCGACATGCGACCCTGGACCCCGATCGGCCCGTCCGGGACTGGTGCAGGCGCCCCGCGCTGGCCAGGGGCGGCGCCAGAGGCGCCGCCAGGGGGGCCCAGCACAAAGCCAAGAAATCCGCGCGGAGCGCCAAAAATTTGTGCTGATATCCCTTTTTTCCCCCTTCGAGACATGCGACCCTGGGCTTATCGGGTGTTGGCAGAAC